TATGTATCAGAAACCTGAGAACTAAAGAGGAGAAATTATTCGTTTATTAAGGAAAGAGCTTAAACTAAAACCCGTTAAGACATTTAAATCTAAAGTAGATGTCATACATATTCCATACCCATTTAGAATACCTACAGATGCCACATAATCACTACTCTGCCCTTCCAAATATTTGCAGGTGAGTGGAGGCATTTGCCCTTTTATGCATTCTCTGTGGTGTGGCACAAAGTTGCATAGGTATGGCAACAAAGACATGGTCTGGATGTGAATTCTAGAGTGTTTAGATGGCATTAAGCTTAGAATAAAAACAATAGTTTTCATGCTATTGAAAACATTTTAAAATGTTTATTTAGTAATAACATTTCATTTTAATGAATATAATTTCACTTATATTCTCCTAATACATGATTTTTAAAAAACAGCTTTTTGAGGTATTATTGACATTCATAAACTGCACATATTGACAAAGATTCTCTCCTTGACTAAACTCCGGCCAGGCTCTTCCCAGCCCTCTTCTTGACCAGGCCTTAACCTTGGCCTATGAAGACTTGAACAAACATTAACATAGTTTCTAATAGCTCAAGGCTGCAACCCTAAGATGACCCTAGCCCCCTCTTAAAATACCTGCTTGAGAAAACTCCAGGGTGCCAAAAGAATAAACTGTCTTGTAGCCAATCCTAAATTAGGGCTCCTGTTTCCCAGTTTCTGTGGGAGAGTAGGAGCCTAACTTCTGTGTCAGTTAGCAAAACCAGGTGGGTTTCACATGAACCAACCCCGCTTCCTGGTGTCTGTTATTTTTCACTTCCCTGACTCTACTGAGCAGCCACTGTCCCCTCTTCTGTTCCCTCATTCTCCCCTTACAATGCCCAGTCAGCTCTGTGCAAATTGAAGTTGAATTCAGTTTACACTGAACCCTTTTCCCTATTGCAATAGTGTATTACTGATTAAAATCTCTCCTTACCACTTTTACTAGTGTCCGGCCTTATTTATCTTTGACAATATTTAACATGTACAATTAGATAAGTTTTGACATCTGTATATACCCAATAAATCATTTGTATGTCAGTATAGTGAAAATATCCATCACCCAGCATTTTCCTTCTGCCTCTTTGTAATCTTCTTCCTCCTTCTCCTTCTCACCCTATTCCCACCCTTTCTCTCGTCCCCAGGTTACTACTCACTATAGTTTTTATGTTCTAAAATGTTAAATAGGTATGTACGTTTTTTGTCTTCATTTTTTCATTCAACATAGAGATTCTTCTATGCTGTTGATTTATTAATAGTTTCTTTCTTTTCATTGCTCAGTGGTGTTCCATTTTATGGATTATCCCACTATTTTTAATTTGTTTATCTGCTGATGGACATTTGGGTTGTTTCCAGCCTTGGGGTATTGTAAACCAAGCTGCTTTGATCATTCCTGTGCAAGTCTTTGTATGGACATATGCTTTCTTCTCTCTTGAGCAAATACCTAGGAGTGGAATGGCTGGATTGTATGGTTGGTGTAGAAACATGATTTTTGAATGACTGTATAGAAGTCTTTAATGTAGATATTTCATATTTTAAAAACAATACCCTATTATTGAACATTTAGACCTTTAGATTCTGCACTATTGTTGCAAATGATCTAAATTTTTGGCTTAGCAATGTGTTTATAGATATTCAACTTGGAAAAATAAAGCCCGAGAAAATGAAAAGCCATGGAAAGGGAATCTGCAAACAAAGAGCATGTTCCTAAATAATTTTGAGTTTTTCAACGATTGCAAAGTATTTTGTGTCCTTTCCTGGGAAGCAAAGTGGCATGAATCTTTAAATGAATCAAAATTTTAATTTTAATTTGGAGTTTATTTTGCAACCAATGGAAGGTCTGCTGTTTTGCTGTCGAGTTTATGGGATGATGATTTCATCATAACATTCCTTATGAGGCTATTGCAGTAAACTTGGGTGTGGCCTTTTGTTTCTGGGAGCTATAATTAGCCATCTGGTATACTTTATAACAGTTTGTTAAATAAAAACATCTTAAAATGTAGCATTTTGCTCACTTCTCTCTCCTCTCTCTCTCTTTCTGCCTCTGTGTGTGTGTGATGACACACATGTATAGGGTGACAATTGTAAAACTGAAACAAAATGTTAATGGCAAAGCTATATTTTTCTGTGCTATGTTTAGGGTCTTCTTATAACAAAAGTTGTTTTCACCAACAGATTTTTAAACAGCAGGGACATGCTTATTATTTACTGTTTTGGTGTCTTTCCCTCATTTACATAAATACCCCAGAAACCAGCAGTTTAAAACTAATAAAAGCCAAGGCCCTCCATCAAGTGCAATAAAGTTTCACAACCATGAGTTAGACTGTTAGAGTGAAAAATAAACCTATATATGTGGTTATGAAGGGGTTTGTTTTTGGAAAGTGTATAATCACATTTCAAAGTTAGAACTTCCATTTGAAGTAGCCATGTAATAATAATACTTAAACATTTATATAGAACGCTTCATCTTTGAAACACTCTCCCAACATTGGCCAATTCATCTCGATTGCTTCCCTGAGGAGCAGGTACTATGCTCTGCCATTTTTCTAGTTAGAAAATTGAGGAAGGTAAGACCAGGCCCGAGAGAGGGAGGGCTGGGGAGGCCAGTTCCTGGCCCTTATTATTCTGTGACTCTTTGGGATGTAATTCCTAACAGCATGCCTCAAGTTTCTGTTCCCCATTGATGAAGTCATTAATAAAACAACAGTATAAATAGTAGCTCTATCGGCTTTGAGCTCTTAGATGCAGTCCTGACCTTCCTGTGGCACACCTCTTGAAAGGAATGATATGTGGAGAAGATACAGAAGAGCCCATTGCGATGGGTTGATCCAAACTTCTTCCAGTGAGAAAAGTGAAGTCGAATGCTTCCCCACTCCCCCAGCTACCACCCTCACATTATCTTGGCAACTTCATTTACAGTTTTCCAGATGCGATTTACCATGATTAGTACATTTAAAGAGTTGCACAAATTTGTTATGCACATTAAAGCCAGAGGAACAGTAAAATAAAACTAATGAACATTTACATTTTTGGAAATATAATTAATGTATGCTTGAGAAATTCTGAAAGATAAACATTTAAATGTTAAAATACTTATTACCTTCCCCACAGGGACAGTGTTGGGAATTAATGAGATAACAAATGTAAAGTGCTTTGAGCTCTTTAGAAGAAAGGTGCCAAATGAATACAAATGATTATTAATTGTTAAAGCTATCAGATGATTACTAATATATTACTTGTGATAAAATATGTATTTTTATACTTAAAAAATGGGAGGCTTACAATTCTTAAGATGACACAGCTGAAATAATGCTCCCCAAACTCCTTCCAGGCTATTCCACATTTTGTTGGAAGCCTTTCCCAATGCTTCTATGATTTCTTAACCTTATACTCATCTCTCAAAACTTCAGGGCATGACTTCTCAGCTTTCACATTCTATGCCTTTCCAACATCATTCTTCACCAGTCTTACAGATCCATCACCATAGGAGAATTCCACTGACACCATTTTTTTCTTCTGACTTTGATCACATAATTGCAATGCCTTACCATGCTGTCAGTTGTACAAGCTCATTTTATTAGCAGGAAGTATGCGTAAGTTAACCTGCTTTTTTTCTATGTTTTAAACAATACACTAGAATTTGTTATTCTAAAAATGTGCAAATTCCTTGGATGATCTGGGACAAGTGAAACTAAACCCTCTACTTTGTACAACATGCTGGTATTTGTGGTAAAAGAGAGCAAATCCCAAATTTCTTTCGTTTAGCTTGAGACATGGGGTGAGACACTCTCACTAAGTCTCAATTTCCTCATATGTAAAATGAGAACAGTCGTAGTACCTACACACATGGAGTTTTTGGAAAGATGCAATAAAATAATGTATATGAAGCTTTTAGCACAGTACATCCCTAGCCCCCAGTTTGTTCTATAAGTAACTGTAAGTAGCTTATGGAAAGGTCACTAAATAGGTAGGCGGCACAGGTAGGCAGTAGCACATTTAATATTATAATCTCTTTGGTTTCTTTAAAGTCAATATAAAAGAGGTAATATATTAAGGGAGATACTTATATCCAATAATGCTCTCCAACCACTGCAAACATTCAACATTAAATAATGGGTCATTTCTCATACAAAGACACCTCCATTGTTTAATGTATGCTTCTCCCAAAAACTTCCTGGAAAATGATATATAATTTCCCCAAAATCCTCTTACCACCAAATATTTCAGTTTCCTATTTAGAAGAGCAAAAGCTCAGTAATTAATTCATCGTGACTAATTTTTTTTTTTTTTTTTTTTTTTGAGATGGAGTCTCACTCTGTCGCCAGGCTGGAGTGCAGTGGTGCAATCTCGGCTCACTGCAACCTCCGCCTCCCAGGTTCAAGCGATTCTCCTGCCTCAGCCTCCCGAGTAGCTGGGACTACAGGCGCCCGCAACCACGCCCGGCTAATTTTTTGTATTTTTAGTAGAGACGGGGTTTTACGATGCTGGGCAGGATGGTCTCGATCTCTTGACCTCGTGATCCACCCGCCTCGACCTCCCAAAGTGCTGGGATTACAGGTGTGAGCCACCGAGCCTGGCCCATCGTGACTAAATTATATTTAGGATACTTAGATATTGTACACATATAAATGATTCTTTTTTCAAACATGCCTTAGTTTACCAAGAGCACGGTATCTATGTAACATATATGTGTTAAAAGATAATGGACTATTGCTTCTTTTCAAATGTTCTGTAATTAAAACATGTCACTAATTTAATCTGATCCTCTGGCTTCTTCCACTTAATTACTTGAAGTAATTGTTTCATTATACCAATTTTTCTCCTTTAATTTTGAAGCTGTAGATGTTTAGGTAGAGAACTTTGCTCCCAATCACTTTCACAGGTCTGAATTCTGTGGTGTATGCAAATGATAGCTGCAAAGGAGGAAAGTGGCATTGTCTGAGAAACCAATCAAGTGGGTAAAACAATGGTGTAGAATGGCGAACTCGTTTCGCTATTGCCAGCAGCTTGAGCCTCGGGAGTGCTAATCAAAATTCACATGCAAAACTTCCCGATAGATTTAACAGTTTTGTACTGTTAAGCAGGGGTTCTCGCCATGTGAATGATCCACTACTGTGCCGAACAAAACGGAGACAGTTTTCTTTTAAAGTCCAGAGCAGATGAGAGCCATAAGGAGACAGAGGGTTTCATTTACTCTCAGGACACGATTGTGCCAGTGAACTAATGAGTCTCTTGGACCTTATGTTGCTCTGGCTTCAATCGAGGCGCGACTCTAATGGGCATGTAGTACTTCCTATCTGTCAAGTGTCTGGACAATGGGCCCCTCGAATGGATGAGAGAGATCTGGCAAGAAAAAGAGGTCAGTGTTGTACCTAGCACAGGCAGGAAACCTGGCTAATTAATGTATTTCCAACTATAGCAAAACAAAAGCTCACACAGAGAAATGTTAATTTTATTACAGAAACTCTTAGCCTGTGGCTGAAGCACAGTTAACAAATTACTGAAATTCCATAGGCAAAAATCCTCCTCCTTTTCCCAATACACTAAAATATTTATAAAGGTCATTATTTAAAACAATACGTAGTTTTGGTGTTGTAATTTGCTTTTATTTCGCCCTTCAGTAAAGCTCACTGATGTAGAAATATTTTTGGACAATTATGAAGTGAATGCTGAAAGTTAGTGTCAGCACTACCTAATCTTAACAATCAGCCTTTTTAAAGGTAGTGTAATGTTGAACTAAACTTGAAAAAATCGCGCTGCTGTATTAAATTGGAGAACTAGAGAATACAAATGTTTATTCAAGCTACAGAGCTCGAGTTACACTCCATCTGAAACTAAGAGCAGATACTGCCACCTAGATACATTCTGATGCTTTGGTTAACTAGATGCTGGCTTATCCTACTTTTTGAAAAATGGCAACAATGGCAGACAATAGCGGCTTCGTATAACAAAAACACGATGAATGATAGTCACTGAAAAATTCATATAAATATAATTTCAATATAATTTGAAGCTTTAAAAAAAGGTATTTGTGTTTTGACAAATAACAATGCTTAAGCCTTTATTCAAACCTATAAATGCAGAGTAACTATTAGAAATAGGAGAAAACTTTATAAAACATAAAAAATAAAAGCTGCATGATCCTGAGACCCGTGAGGAAGTAAATGTGGAGGTGATATCAGTAAGACTTTTAACTTTCTTCTTTTATCAGATGACTTTTTTCTGAGTTTGAGAAGAAGAAGGGATTGTTCAACACTCTCAAATGAACACACAAATAAGTTTTGGTTTAATAAGTAAAATAAGATCACTTAATAAACATTGTTTTAAAAAGAGCATTTCATTACAATCTCTTCTGATTCACCTCCTAGCACACAAAGCAAACCAATTTCCCCTGGCTTTTATTTCTAACAGAAAAAAAAAAATTTCCCTTTTTATTCCAGACTGGGATCCAAAATGTTATGTACTATATTCCAGGATTATTTCTTGGGTTTAGAGAGATTTTTATCATCTTTGGACTGTTGCTCCTCTTCATATCTCATTTTGTTTTCCTTTGTTACTCTTAGAATAGTTTCAATATCAGCAATGCTGGTCTGTAAGTAAACAGTAAAGACAATATTTATTACTTAAAGACCTCTTACAATCCCTCTCCCCCAAGCATCTGGTCCTTTTGGGAGTTCACCATGGTTTAGACCAGTTCTATTCAGAATACATTCTACCGACTGGCATTTGTCTACAGATTATGGCTTACCAATCTTGCTGAAATGAGTAAAAAAATTGAGAGTATGGCTCAAGCCTGTAATCCCAGCACTTTGGGAGGCCGAGACCGGCGGATCACGAGGTCAAGAGATCGAGACCATCCTGGCTAACACGGTGAAACCCCGTCTCTATTCAAAAATACAAAAAAACTAGCCGGGCGAGGTGGCGGGCTCCTGTAGTCCCAGCTACTCGGGAGGCTGAGGCAGGAGAAAGGCGTAAACCCGGGAGGCGGAGCTTGCAGTGAGCTGAGATCTGGCTACTGCACTCCAGCCTGGGCGACACAGCCAGACTCTGCCTCAAAAAAAAAAAAATTGAGGGTAAGAATTTGGAAAACTTTTTAGAATTTTTATGCCTATTACGTTTAATAATAAAAACATTGGGCTTCTCAATTGTACATCTTTAATTTTTTTCATCGTATTTTTCTAGTAATTAAATTTTCTTCTATTTTGTTAAAAAATATTGATCCATGATAGTCAGATCAAAACAAAACAAAACAAATAGTTCCTTATTATGGATAATTTGAGAAACATTGGTCTAGTCACCCTAAAATGAGGGCTAGTAGGCTGATGGGAGGGTTTCTTTCCATTGGTTGCTGGGAAGAAAACAATGACACCTTCCCATTTACTTTATTTATATTTTATTGAGGTATAATTCCCATACCATAAAATTCACCCTTATAAAGTATACAATTCAGTGGTTTTTAGTATATTTGCAAGTAATCATCACCACTATGCAATTTCAGAACATTTTCATCATCCCAAACAGAAACTCTGTCCCCATTAGCAGTCACTCCCCATTTCATCCCCCTCCCTCAGCCCCTGGCAACCACTAATCTATTTCTGTCTCTATGAATCTACCTCTTCTGCACATTTCATATAAATGAAACCATACATTATATGACCTTTTGTGAATGGCTTTTTACCTAGCATAATGTTTTCAAGGTTCAGCCATGTTGTAGCATGGATCAGTACTTTATTCCTTTTATAGAGCTGAATAATATCCCATTATATAAAATATTATCCATAGAATATAATAAAATTCACTTATTTCTTAGTCGATGGACATTTGGGTTGTTTCTAATTTTTGGCTATTATGAATATTCCTTCTATTAACATTAATGTACACGTTTTTGTAGGAACATGTTCTCAATATTCTTAGACATATACTTAGAAATGGAATTGCTGGGTCATATGGTAATTTTACACTTAATTTTTTTATAAACTGCTAAACTTTACATATCTGTGATACCATTTTTAATTCTTACCAGCAATATATGAGGGTTCTGGTTTCTCCATATCCTCACCAACACTTGTTATTGCCTTTTTATTTAACTGTAGCCATCTTATTAGGTATGTAATGTTTCATTGTGGCTTTGATTTATATTTCCATAATAACATGATGTTGAGCATTCCTTCACATACTTATTGGCCATTTGTACATCTTTTTTTTTTTTTTGAGACAGGGTCTTGCTCTATCACCCCAGCTGGAGTGCAGTGGTGTGATTATGACTCGCTTCAGCTATGACCTTCTGGGCCCAAGCAATCCTCCCCCCTCAGCCTCCTGAGCAGCTAGAACTACAGGTGTGTGCCACCATGCCTGGCTAACTAAAAATTTTTTTGTGTGGATATGAGGTCTTACTGTGTTGCCTGGGCTAGTCTCAAACTCCTGGCCTCAAGTGATCCTCCTGCTTCAGCCTGCCAAAGTGCTGGGATTACAGGTGTGAGCCACTGCACTTGGCCTGAGTATCTCCTCTGAAGAAATGTCTCTTCAAATCCTTTGCTCCCTTTTAAAATTGGATTATTTGTCCTTCTGTAGTTGAGTTGTAAGAGTACTTTGTATATTATGAATACTATGCCTTACTAGATATATGATTTGCAAATATTATTTCCCTTTCTGTGGGCTGTCTTTTTACTTTCTTGATAGAGTTCTTTGATGCACGAAGTTTTAAATTTTGATGAAGTCTGATTTATCTATTTTTACTTTGGTTGCTTGTGCTTTAGGCACCATGTCTAAGAAACTATTGCTAACTCAAGGTCATGAAGGTTTATACGTATGTTTTTTCCTGAAAGTTTTACAGTTTTAGCTCTTACATTTAAATATTTGATCCATTTTAATTTTCTTTTTTTTCTTTCTTTCTTTCTTTTTTTTTTTTTTTTTTT